TCTTATTCTTGAATTAACTCTTTAATTCTAGAACCCACATATCATGGTAACACCTAGCAAGCAGCATGAATCTAGTATTAAGTGAATAGCGAGTAAACCTATTTCAATTACAACTCCATACATGTAAAATCCTTTCGACATCTAATTTCCCGATTAAGTCTTGGGTATGATTTTGTCGAAACCCAAATTGACTTAATAACTATGATTCTATTTCAAGTTTATTAACCGTTTATGAATCACTATTCATCTCTGCCTTGGCCAAGGACTTTGGATTAATAACTATGAAACACATAGGAAATTCACTTATCTTCATAAGTGTCGAATCCTTTATTGGCCACTAACAAACTTCCATACATATTAACATAATACCCAAAATATCCCTTTATACGATAGTGCTAGCTACCAAAAGGATAAATCAAAGTAGAATGTAATATGCACAAAGTTACCATTGTGCCTCAAGTCTTAGGATTAGTCATGTACTATTGTAACATGAAAATTCTTATTCGACAGATTATTAACTAAAATAATTCTTCATTAAGAATTTTCATACGGTCATGTTCAGTGAACTTGTTCTCTAACAAGCACTCACATAAATGTATTTGCGTCGCACGCTAATGTTGATGGAATGCAACATTCTTGTCCAACAAGCGTACAAACTATGTGCAAGTCTTTTATGGATTATTCGATATCCCATCTCGAAACATCCATCGACTTGGAACTGTATTTAAGATCACGGCTTTCAAGATATGTTCCATGATCACCATCTCTATGCGCAACCATACCTTATAACCATAAGTGATCTAGGGATTTTATCTTAAGTGTATTTATAAGATAAATGCTTTCTCTTAAGATAAAGAAATGCCTTATTAATAATATAATTCCAATAGATTGTATTTACAAGTAGAATACGTCCAATCAGATTGGAACGCCGGGTACCCTACTCTAACAGCTTCGATGTTAGACGTTTGATTTTATAAGCAAGCTTTAGTACCGGACGTTTGGCATGCTTTATAGCTTTAATCCTGGAAGTTTCTCATGGGCTCAAGCTTTCCAGTTGGACGTTTAGCAGCATAATAAGCTTGTTATTTAAAAGTTTTAACTTTGTTGCCCCTTCCCATTTAGACGTTTCACATCAAAGTCGGGCTTCGCATTTGGACGTTTCCTTTGCTTCTAAGCTTAGTTTTTGAACGTTTGTTTTAACAGTCGGGCTTCTATGTTGGACGTTTCTTCGACATTCAAACTTAGCTTCTGGACGTTTCTCTTCAGAGACGGGCTTCACATTTGGACGTTTCGAATGCCTTTTTCTAGTAACTTTTTTTTTACCACAGGGATATTTTTGTAAATTTATCATTTTTTTTTTTCGGGCGACAAGTAGTAATTTGGGGCGACAAATAGCAATCCTGTTATATAATTTAAATTTTGAATGCGATGTTTAATAAATAACTTCTCATGGTTTTAATTGGAATTTTTTACTATTTTTGGAGTTCTATATATTTTATTTCTTTCACGGAATTGTTTTTAGTAATGACTTGTTATGTCCTTAAGCCGTCATGTTTCTCTCTAAGACAATATCCAAATGATTGGACAAGCAGACTTTCACATATGACAATTTGACGGTGCTTCTAATGAGAAAGATGTTGTCAATAGACGTGGCTACGGGTCACCCGGCCCGGTCCCGACATGGACTCGGCCAGGTCAAACCCGTTGATCACGGGTTCGAGCCTGGCTCAAATTTCAACCGGGACGATCCAAGGTCCCGTGTTTTCGACTCTAGCTCGGTGGGTCGGTCCGGAACGAAAGAAACACATTTTCAAATTTTTTTTATTAATTTATTTGAACGGGCCAGACCTTGGTGGGCCCAGTCCGGCCTACCGGGCCATGGACCCAGAACGGACCTAGGCCGTGCCAGATCAGGGTCCGTCTAACCCAGCCTGTCGGCCCAGACCGGGTTTTGTCCATGTTTAGTTGTCAATATATAATACAAGAAATACCAACACATATGTGTAGACATCGAAATTTTAATATTTTATTAATTAGTGTCTTTATTTATCTATGGACATAATTCCAAGATAAATAAGATATTTAATTAATAAAGTAAATATTTCTTGCCCACCAAGTCAAATCTTAGGATAAGGAAAGAGATTATATCAAATCATGAAGAACCAATCAAATTGATGTCTTCTTTTACTCTATCTCCTACCCCTATAAATAGGGTTCTCCTCAATGCCACAAATAACACCTAAAACACCTCAAAAAATCCAACACCTCAGAAATCAAAGTCTCAATTCAAAGAGCTCTCAATAATTCTTTTGAAGATTCAAAAGTGTTCTTGAACATCCACGACATTCAAGTTAAAGATCCAAGAAGAGAAGGATCAGAGGAGATAAATAGAAATTATACCCGCAATATCGTTTGATCGAAATAAAATCAAGTTGTACAAAAATTTTATGTTTTTCATAAAATTTGTTGTTACAATATGTATCAATTTTTTGTACACAGTTTCACCCAGACATTGAGACAGCAACACACATTCTAATACATCAACACGCATTCTGTACACAATGTAGAACTTGGATTTCCTTTGTCTTGTCTAGTTTGGGGATGAGAGATAGAGGAAGGGAGATGCAGAAAAAATTCTGTTTCTTGGCCTAGGGTATGTGGAGAGGAAAGGGGATAGTTGAGTCTTGTATTCATGTTGCTTTACGATGTACAAACACCAAAATGGTGTCTTTTTTGGCAAGGTTGTCAAAACCAGACCGATCATCGAACTAGTCAATCTACTGGTTCAATGGTTCACTGATCCGACCAGTGGTTGAACCGATTGGACCTTTATTTAATTTATTGATATTTTTTAAATATATAATACTTTATAAATATTAAATATAGTTGACTTATTTTTTAAAAGGTTGGTCCCACCATATATAAATTAAGCAATAAAAAAATACTACAAAAATATGGAACAAAAAAAAATATTTCCTCACACTCCCACATTGGACAATAAAATAATAAGAAATAAATATGAGATATGGGAAAAGAAATTTCTTCCACTCGCAGATAAAAGAGAAAAGAAATTCCTTCCACAAGCGGCTTTACCTTTACAATTGAAAATTCAGAATTTTTACATCTTGACTCACATCCGTAACCATAAAACGTTAGTTGTTTTATAAAAGTGTTAGATTTATTTATAAACATAAAAATTACTTGACCGATTGAGCCAACTGATTTTTGGCCGGTTCGACCGGTTTTTGACCGGTTTCTTCCATAGAACGGACCGGTGAATTGGCTGGTTTCCGATTCAACCGGTCGGGTCTGATTTTGACAACCTTACATTTTGAGCCGGAATATATATAAATAAAGAAAAATGAAGGGCATTTTGGTAACACTCCACCCCATGGCACCGGTTCACATATAAAGGCCTGTCATTATGACAGAGATATTCATNATGTTATGATTAAAAAAAAAAAAAGAAGAAGAAAGAAAGGGGAATAGATTAACACGACAAGATTAACAAGCCATAAATACTGGACATACTCTAAATAATCATGATCCACATTATGAAGATGAACGGATAAAAGATAATACAAGACAAGCAAAAATAGATAAATAAATCCTGAGTAGAAAAAGAGTAATTAGGATGAGAACTTGCTAAATCATCGGTTAGTGCGTGTTCTCGTTGGGAGTAAACCACATTGGTGCAGGCACAATCTTCTTTATTTTGTTGGTGTCCCGTGGATAAAAGCAATCAGAAAATGTTCTGGTCACGCAATGATAAATGCCGATATCGTGGCCCCCAAACATCGAGCCCGCTGGAGGCTGGTGTATATTTATGTCAGTAAAGTAAATACAATCACTTTTTAGGCCATGGTCGGTTGGTGTGGAGATGGAAAAGGAGTGGTTCTTGCCAATAAACATTGCCAGCCCATCCAGCGAACCCTCCACGCTAGTCTTAATAAGCTTCCCCGAAATATAGTCAACTTTAAAAACATCGAAAGAAAAGGTTTGGTGGGGGAATTTGTCATCCCAACCCCTATACTTACCAAAGTAGATATGCGGACGATAGGCACCGTCGGGGCCCATCCGTGAGCATACGTGCTGATTCAAGAGGAAAAGCTGATTCATCTGCTCTGCCACCACGAGGAATTGCTGCGTCGACACCTCCGGATATCTCCCAGTGGTAAAAGAGAGGGCCATCGTCTCTTGTTCACTAGCAACCCCAGAAGTATAACGTACAATCTCCGACCAACAAATTCTGGGGCACTCGAGGTCCCCAAGATCCCAACACTCCAATCTCCACATCACATAACAGAAGAAGAGTTTGCGTGTGGTGGAATAGACGCAATCGGTGTACCGCCTGGCATAGTCGTCGCCGTCGAATGCCTCCCAATACAAATTATCATACCAATACAAATGTCCGATGGGGGTCCAGTGGGTGCTGCGGCCAGGCTGGCAGAAAGCCAGCCTCTCAAAGGGCCCAAAAATCATCACGGCACGGCATTGATCTACATCGTGGTCCGGGGAGCAGGAGAGTATGAGCTTGGATACGATACCACAGCAGTTAATTTGGGGATCGGGCAAGGTGAGGAGGGATGGAAGGTTTATGCGTACCTCAGTGATGGGGTTCCAGAGGAGCAGCCCGTGGTTGCGCCGGTTCAGCACAACTATCCACCCGTGAGACGAACCCACAAATTTGGCATCAATATCCTCTCCTTCCAATGTTGATCTTCTTCTCTCTATTTTGGATTCTGCCAAATTGTAAAAATTATACAACATGTTGCCGCATTTTACAGAGGGGGGGAGCATAAGCCAGGGCGACTTAACGCTGCTCCTATTATTATTATTATTATCATCATCAGAAGAAGAATTCCTCGCCACATAATGCGATTTATTATCTGTCGCCCTATTATTATCATCAGAAGAAGAATTCCTCGCCACATAATGCGATTTATTATCGGTCGCCCTATTATTATCATCAGAAGAGAAATTCCTCGCCACATAATGCGATTTATTATCGGTCGCCCTATTATTAATATCAGAAGAAAAATTCCTCACAACATAATGCGAGTTATTATCTGTTCTGCTTCTTCTGCTGCTGCTACTTATCATCATTCTATTATTAGAAAAAAAACCAACGTCCCCTATAATCATCGTATTCGATGAACTAACAAAAGATCTCATACTGAAAGCTCTCAAACGAATCATCATGTTGTTAATACAGAGCTCACCTGCAGTGCTGAGTGAAACCTAGATCTCCAACACCACCAATAATGCGCCGCTACACCTTGTGTCACATTGTACTTTACTATATACCTTACACGGATGGGCTTTTTTCTTTTTCTTTTTTTTATTTTTTGTTTTTACTTGGATGGGCTGTGATACGGACCATCTCATTTTTCATTTCTATGTCATTTTATCGGGAAAATGACACCCCTTGTCATTTTAAGGATTTATTATGTAATTAAATGGTGGCTTAATAATGGTATAATTCCCTTCTCTCCTGTCAGTTACGGGGATATTTTGTAACAAAATAAATCAAAAGCTGCACGTAAAATCAAGGGTAACTTTCTATTAAATTTCTAAGTGCCTTTTCATATTCCTTCTCAGTCCCCATACCTTTATTTATTCCTTTCAACTCTTTAATTCCTTAATTTTCTTCCTCCTAACTCGCTAATGTTAAAATTAAATCAAAACTAAAATGCTTTATTACATCATCCCACTAACATATTATTTTATTTGTTTTATCTTCCACCAACCACAACACGTGATACTATTTTATTACTTTTTGATCAATCTTCTTCTACACCATTTCTCCCTCCCTCCCGTCACTCTTCCGTCTTCCTTCATTTCCGGCGACTGCTTGCATTTTTTTTTTTTTTTGCAGGTCAGTCTCTCCGGCGACAAAATCCGGCGAGAAGAACTCCGACAACAACAAATCCGGCAAAAGAAGTGATTCCGACGTCAAATTTGTGCGGCCAAGAATTAATTTTTTCCGGCAACATTCGTACTTTTTCCGGCAAAAATTTGAAGTAGCAAGTAATATATGGATTATATGACCATTTTGGAGTCCAAAAATCATGTTTAATTCGTATATATTTGGTTAATTTGTTTGGGATGAATTTTGAAAATTATTGTTCATATTAACCCTAAATCAATTAAATTGATCAAAATCTCTTATTTCTTGTTTATGTATACAAAATTGATGCTATTGTTAAGTTTTGTAATGTGTTATTCAACCCAAAACATAAATATAAGGTGGGAATGATCACTGTACCACTATTCTTGATTATTGTACCTCTGTTTGATTAATATAGTACCACTTTAATACTGTTTTGTACCATATTTTCCTGGGAAATGTGAATTTTTTTTTATTTATCCAATAGTTATATACATGGAAGGGGCACAAAGTGATATACTAGGGAGTTGTACGTACAAGAATGAATTGTTTATGTTCTCTATGCACATTGGAGTCCAAAAATCATGTTTAATTCGTATATATTTGGTTAATTTGTTAGGGATTGAATTTTGAAAATTGTTGTTCATATTAACCCTAAATCAATCAAAATCTCTTATTTCTTGTTTATGTATACGAAATTGATGTTATTGTTAAGTTATGTAATGTGTTATTCACCCAAAAACAAGAAAATAAGGTGGGAATGTCATTGTACCCTGATTCTTGATTATTGTACCTCTGTTTGCATGTATATAGTACCACTTTAATTTTTTTTTGTACCATATTTTCCTAAGAAATGTGAATTATTTTTATTTATCTAAATATTGTTAGATAGGTGGAAGGGGCACAAAGTGATATACTAGGGAGTTGTACGTACAAGAATGAATTGTTTATGTTCTCTATGCACATTGGATCAACGCTTGGCGAAGTGTACACTCTCATATCAAAGAGGTGGCCGAACGTTAATTTCGAATCCGTCGTGCTATGTTATATTGCGCCAAAGGAAAAAAAGAGAGTTACTTTGTTGGATGATGAGGATGTGAAGAACATGATTCGGTTACACTTTTGTTGGAAACTAAATATCGTAGAGATCATTGCCATGGAAAGAAATGAAAGACGGGATGATGGAGTTCAATCCTTCCCGATGAACATGAGCAGGTAATGTTGTTTTCATAATATTAATGAATTTATTATTGAAATGTGGTGTAGTCGTATCATATCCTAGTTCATTAATTTTTCAACTAGTTCCATATTTATAAATGTTTGTATTATTTTGTCATGAACGCAGGGAAAACGTACAGTCTGATGATTTGTCGGAGGGAGAACATGAGTTGTTGCAAGATAAATCAATCGATTCTTGGAGATGTTGCCTCAAAGGAGAGGGCAAATATGTTGGGTTCGCCTGTACCGTACGAGCTATACGCAGCGGAATTTAAAATTTTTCAAAACAAGTATTTAACACTTAAATACTTTTCTCGTACATACATATGGCGAATTAACAAATCGTCATCTTTAAAAACATGTAATAATACATATTTTGATTTGTTGAAAGTAAATTCTCAATTTACCTTTAATCTTGAACTCCTTCACAATTGATGATGGATGAGGGAATCGATTCCCGGTTTGATAGCAGCAACAAGTTGTGGTTACTCGCTTAGGAATCCAAGTGTTTTCCCTCTAAACGTATCCACCTTTTGAAGTCCGGTTCCGAACTAGTTCCTTCGCTAGTAGAAACTAATCGGTTTTTTATTCAATTAGTTTAGAATATATTTCATGGAAATTTTACAAGAACTTTTCTTGTTTTGGAATATGAAGAACACTTCTTCTTTTCTCTCTTTTTCAACTTTTGAAAACTTTGTAATACTTAGCTTAAAATTGAACATCAAGTATGTCCATATTTATACTAAACATTTTAGTATAAAATAATAATATTGGGTAGAATATTTTCATAAAATATAAAAAGTCTTCAAGAATATTTTCATAAAATATTAAGTCTTGAATAAGACTATTCCCCACCCAATATTCAATTAATAAGAATAAGATTAATTATGTTAAGTAGTTAGCATCTCATAACCACCATAATTAATTTATTCTTATTAATATTTAATCTTTAATCATATTAAAGATATATCATAAAATAATAATTCTTGAAAGCATCTTTCAAGACTTTATTATTTTAATCTTTTATTCCATTTCCTCATTTTAATAATCATATTATTATTTGGATTTGAAATTTAAAAACTAATTTTAAATTCCAAATATTAATTAGTAATTACATTAATTACTAAATTAATATCCAAAATTCAATTAATCAATCCAATTGATTAATTTAATATATTCCTTTAATTGACATCTAATCAAATTAGATTTTGTCAATTAATTCTAACTCTTTAAAATTACTATTTGAATTTCACCTTTATTCAAAAATTGGTGTGACCTTTTAGGTTCACAATTAATACTAGTAGTGGGTTTACAACTCTTTGTAATTTGAGTTAATCTTATTAACTCTTATTCATGAATTAACTCCTTAATTCAAGAACCCACATATCATTGGAACATCTAGCAAGTAGCATGAATCTAGTATTAAGTGAATAGCGAGTAAACCTATTTCAATTACAAGTCCATACATGTAAAATCCTTTCGACATCTAATTTCCCGATTAAATCTTGGGTATGATTTTAGTCGAAACCCAAATTGATTTAATAACTATGATTCTATTTCATGTTTAGTAATTCATGTGTGAATCTCTATTCATCCTGCCTTGGCCAAGGACTTTGAATTACTAACTATGAAATACATAGGAAATTCTCGTATCTTCATACGTGTCGAATCCTTTGTTGGCCACTAACAAACTTCCATACATATTAACATAATACCCAAAATATCCCTTTATACGATTGTGCTAGCAACCAAAAGGATAAATCAAAGTAGAACGTAATATGCACAAAGTTACCATTGTGCCTCAAGTCTAAGGATTAGTCATGTACTATTGTATCATGAAAATTCTTATTCGACAGAATAATTAACTAAAATAATTCTTCATTAAGAATTTTCATACGGTCATGTTCAGTGAACTTGTTCTCTAACAAGCACCCACATATATGTACTTGCGTCCCACGCTAATGTTGATGGAATGCAACATTCTTGTCAAACAAGCATACATACTATGTACAAGTCTTTTATGGATTATTCGATATCCCTTTTCGAAACATCCATCGACTTGGAACTTTATTTAAGACCACAGCTTTCAAGGTATGTTCCATGATCACCATCTCTATGCGCAACCATACCTTATAACTATATGTGATCTAGGGATTTTATCTTAAGTGCAAATATAGGATAAATGCTTACTCTTAAGATAAAGTAATGCCTTTTAATTAATATAATTACAATAGATTGTATTTACAAGTAGAATACATCCAATCCAATTGGAACGCTGGGTATACTACTCTAACAAAATATTCGCTGGGGCCGACGAAATTTCGAAAGAGTGTAAAAAACTATGCAATTGCAAACAAGCGGTCCTTTAAGTATTGGAAAAATGACAAGCAGAAGATCATCGTTTGTTGTAGCGATGCGGATTGTGAATGGAGAGTATATGCATCGTTATACAAAGGCGATCAGCAGTTTGCCATCCGGAAATGCAACCTCGTCCATACTTGTGGTGTGTCCAATCTTCGGACGAGGAGGCATCCGAAAGCAGACTCCATTTGGGTGTCAACTACAATCAAAGACAGACTGAGAGATGAACCGAACTACAAGCCTTGCACGATATTGAAAGATATTCACAGAGATTATGGCTTGGAGTTGCCTTACAAAAAGGCATGGTTAGAGAAGGAACTTGCAATGCAAGATATTCATGGAGCAGACACGGGATCTTACGACAAATTGAGATGGTATTGTAGCGCAGTGCATGAGACAAACCCTAGAAGCATTGCCGATTGTGAGATTGACACCGTCGAGAATAAGTTCCGCCGATTGTTCATCTGCTTTATTGCTTGCCTTGTCGGTTTTTTAACCGGTTGTCGACCGTTGATATTTTTGGATAGCACCCACATAAAACATAAATACAAAGGCATTTTGCTTAGTGCTGTGAGTAAGGATGCCAATGACGACTTGTTCACTATAGCATATGCCGTGGTTGATGCCGAGACGGATG